AAAGAACATCATGATGAAAATGAGACACCTGACAGTGAAGGTATGATCAATGTAGAGAAAGAAACAATTAGTTTGGAGGATGAACCCAGTCTAGATGAATCTACATTACAAAGTTTAAAAGATGGAGCTAAAGAACAGGAGATGGAAGTATGCGAGAAGAATGATGTTGGTCCTGTTGAAGGGTCTAAATCAGCAGACCTGCAGTCATCATGTAGTTCAGACTTAACATCTGAGGAATCCATTGCAGTAAGTATCTGTCACATCACAGAATCACAAACCCTCATGAAACTGAATGAAGAGTCCCAGGAAAATGCTGGAGATGCTGAAAAAGTGGCAGCAGAGGAAGACAAAGACTTACAATTAAAAATTGAATCACAAAACAAAATATTTGACTCAACAACTAGTCAAGCTGAAGGAACAGAAAAGAACATCAATGATGTTAGTGTGACATTAGTCAGAGAAGCTGAAGTTATTGGAGATACAGGTACAGTGGAGAGTAATATGACTACGGAGTCAGATTTTCTTCATACTTCTCCTGATGCACACATCGAAGCATTGAAAATATCTGAAAATGCTGAGAAAGAAGTTTCAGGAGAAACAGACACAATTCTTAAACAAAGTGACATCAGCATCATTCCTAAAGATTCTCACAGAGAAGAGGCACACTCAAAATCAAGTCCAGTTATTCATAAGAGAAAAATGGGCTCAACTCATAGACCTCTCAAAGGGAATAAAGGACAAAGGCAAGAACATGATGAGAAAGAAATCTTCAGATTGGAGGATGAACCCAGTCCAGATGAATCTAGATATATTGCAGTGAGTATCTGTGACATTTCAGAATCACAAACCCTCCCAAAAACTCATGCAGGGTCCCAGGAAAATACTGGAGATGTTGAAATAGTGCCAGCAGAGGGAGACACAGAACGACACTTAGAAAACAAAACATTTGACTCAACAGCATTTGAAGAAGAATCAGCAGAAGAGAACATCTGTGAAGCTAGTGTTTTAGTCAAAGAAGTTGAGTTTATTGGAGATACAGTTACAGTGGAGAGTAATGTGACTACTGAGTCAGACTTTCTTCAAAGTTCTGCTGATGCATTGAAAGTATCTCAAAATTCTGCGAAAGAAGTTTCAGGAGAAACAGAAACAATTCTCAAGCAAAGTGACATCAACATCATTCCTAAA